ATGTGTGTGTGGGTGTGGAGATGTGTGTGTGTGTCTGTGTGTGTGTGTGTGTGTGTGTGTGTGTGTGTGTGTGTGTGTGGGTTTCGTCTATCGTTGACCATATTGTAATCGTTTTCAAAACTTGAATGAAAATCTTTGATTGATTTTGTTGCAGCTCGATTACGCAGTTCGCCGAGTTCCCCCACCGCGTATCAGTGTAATCATTCCTGTCTACAATGCAGGCTCAGATTTACCAGCAACAGTTGAGAGCGTTATGAACCAGACTAGCAAGGATTGGGAGATAATCATGGTGGATGACGGTAGCACGGACAACTCAAGGCAGGTGATGGACAAACTTGTCAGGCAATATGCACATGCGCACAACAGGGTAATTCTTCTCTTAAAGTCCAGTAAACCCTGCCAGCCAAGTCGGTGCTTATCCAGTTCCATGACAGCAAAACAAACTGAAGAATCTGATTTTTTTTTGACAAAATAACAATGCTTCACTCCTCAGATTTTGCTAGCGCAGTTCAGGAAGAAAGAGCCATCCCTGCACCCTTTTACAGTGATACCGGTTTTGAATGTGTGCCAGACCTTATGGCCTGTCGGTTGTTCGCACTCCTACATTCTTATTTCCCATTCATTTGTTGTTAGATTCAGAATAGCTGCCCATGTATGTAGCAAACCCAGCTTGTAAAAAAAAGAAACAAAAAAAAAAACCATCTTGTCAAGAGTTCAGCTCTGGTCCCTTTGTGTGTGTGTGTGTGTGTGTATTTTGACTCTTTATGGTGGTCCCTGTAACGAACCCAGTCTCGTCAAACAATCATGTCGTCAAACAGCAATGTCGTGCAATGTCGTGAGATAATCATTCCAGCAAGTTCATCAATCTGATGTCATCGAAGTACATGATCCCTCCGTTCCACGGGTGATCCAAGTCAACAGTATCCAGATTAGGGGGGGGGGGGGGGGGGCGAGACAGATGGAGGGAGAAGAGTGGATACAGCAATCAATTCCCACTTCTCCTCCAGGCTCCCCACCTCTGCCACGTCAGCACTCCTGAACACTGTATGACACGTGGATGATGTAACGCAGCCCCTAGCAGATGGCAAACCTCCACAGCTAGCAGAATCAGCAGCAGCGTGCAACCAGGTAAGACCAGGTACGTACTCACGACCTCGCACTTCACCCACATTCTCTCTCCCTCCCCTCCCTATCTCGCCGTCGACTACCCTTGCAGCAATGGCTGCCTCGCTCTCTCTCCTATACGCTAGTATCTGGCTGGCGCGCACGAAGCAGCATGGCGCCAGCATCCACTCCTCGAGTCTCACGTGCAGCGTCGACGCCGCAAGGAACTCGCAAGACTGAATGCCCAAGCAGTGGCGAGGTCAACTTAATGTAGTGTTGACTCGCCTGTCCACGGTCAGCGTCGGTCCATGTGAGGGAGGGCCCAGATCTTCAGATTTGTCCCAGTTTCGTTCTGGACTCCTTGAGGACTGAATCTTCCGGAACCTGCAGACCACTGTTAGATCATTCCAGATCAACGGCCAGGAAATCTTGTGTGTTGATTTTGACTTCTCGGATCTGAGCCTGGGTCCACGAGCTGACTGTTGACTTTTAGGTCAACTGTCGGCCTGGGCCATTTCTGAGGCCTGTTTGACCCCTCTATTTCCAAGCCTGCCCGTTCGTGCTTGTCTGTGGGTGCAACGAAAGCCCAGCGGCTGAATTTGGCACACGAGTTACAGCAGTCCCCATCCTTTTCCATTTTTGCTACCATCTTCACTTGAACAGAACACCCGGTCATTATCGCTGTATCTAGACAGACAGTTTGCCCAAATATAGCTATTTTCGGGTGAAGACAGTCGAGTACAGTACGTCCTTCCGTTCTGCTCTTATTTGCAGTCTTCATGGTCTCCTTCGCCTCGCTCCGTGATTCTCTGAAACAGGTCTTTTAATTTGCCTATTGTGTCCCTGCACCTTGGGATCCATATTACCCAAAGGAGAAGAAGGACCGATCTTGTGCTCAGGTCAAGGACATGCCATTCCTTCGACAATCTATAGATTCTATACCTATAGCCTCTCTATCCTTTAGCAGTGAGAGGAAGACAGGTATTAATTGGGGTGGTGGAGAAAGAAGAGTTACAGGTGTGTACCACTCAGTGACATGGGTGTACCACAATCTATAGACTCTATACCTATAGCCTCTCGATCCAGAGGAAGAAAGGTATTAATTGGGGTGGTGGAGAAAGTAGAGTTACAGGGTGTACCACTCAGTGACATGGGTGTACCACAATCTATAGATTCTATACCTATAGCCTCTCTATCCTTTGACAATCTATAGATTCTATACCTATAGCCTCTCTATCCTTCGGACAATCTATAGATTCTATACCTATAGCCTCTCGATCGAGAGGAAGAAAGGTATTAATTGGGGTGGTGGAGAAAGAAGAGTTCAGGGTGTACCACTCAGTGACATGGGCTGGGTACAGCATTGGTTTCATGATTGCGCTGTTCAGGATAGCTGCTGCTGCGACCAAGAGGAAGAAGTGGAGGTGGCTGCGTTGGGGGAGGATAGCATGCTCCTGCTTTTCCAAGCACATGTAAGATCTCCTGTGGTTTCACGGTCTAAGTCCGTCGATTTAGGCATAGATGGCTGACTCAGCAAGTGCGAGATCTCCTGTGCACACATCTCTGACTCAGCACGTGGAAGATTACCTGTGGAGAGATGGCTGACTCGGCAAGTGCAAGATTTCCTTTGCCGAGATGGCTGACTCAGCAAGTGCAAGGCTTCCTGTGCGCAGTTGTTGACGCAGCATGCACAAGATCTCGTGTGCACAGATGGCTGACTCAGCAAGCGCAAGATCTTCCTGTGCAAAGATGGCTGACTCGGCAAGTGCAAGATCTCCTGTGTGCCGATGGCTGACACAGCACGTGCAAGATGCTTGTGCACAGAAGGCTGACTCAGCAAGTGCAAGCTCGCCTGTGTGCCAACGGCTGACTCAGCAAGCGCAAACTCTCCTGTGTGCCGATGGATGACTCAGCAAGCGCAAGCTGTCCTGTGTGTCGATGGCTGACTCAGCAAGTGCAAGATCTCCTGCACATTTCCTTTCTCAGCAGTCTCTTATGTTAAAAAAGGAAGTGCACATTATATGTGGCAGCATTGAGATCTGATGAGATCTATCTCCTGTGCAGCTGAGTCAAACAGATGACATGCCCACCTGGCAGGTGTGGGCAATGTCCGTCCGGATGTGAAAGCAAAGATCAATCAAATGATAAACTACTGCAGATGTGCCAATCAATCAATGCTCAATAAACGAAGAATGATATAACTCTACTCTGAATTACCTTGGGGCCGTCAGTTCGATGATGACCTCTCAGGCTCTCAAGGCCGTCACCGTTTTTATTTGTTTTTTTTTGTTTCTTTTTTTTCGCTTTTATATGTTGAGAAACTTGAGAGAAACATGCTATGAATCGGCGGTACATGAAAATTCAACAAACTTGAACAAAGTAATCCACACTTACTGTCAAAGTTTTTCAACCTAGTTAAACTAATAGAGTTTTGAGGACCAGTCCGCAGATGCGAAAAATAAGGGTTTTTTTTTTGAAAAAGAAGTTTAAGGAACCCCTTTCTCTCTTGTTTCTGGGGAGGGTTGATAGCTCCTATCTATTTATTAGTGGCGATCAGCAGGGAAAACTTTTTCCTAGGGCTGACAGCAGGGGAAAGCGATTTCTAGGGCTGTGGCACGTTCGTCCCTAGCCTCGATTCTCAGGTGTGATGTTTTCGACTGCGGACGTGGGATGTGTTTTGCGCTACACAGGAATTTCGGATTGTGGAAAAGAGAAATGGGGGCCTGGCAGATGCTCGTAATGCAGGGATTGCGGTGGCGCGCGCCAAGTGGGTTTTCCCTCTGGATGCAGATGACTTGATCAAACCGGTAAGTCCGTCCTTTTTTTTCTTTTTTTTTCTTTTTTCCAGTCAGTGCTTTTGAAACGATTTCACCACTGCGACCGTGGTCCCAGTCCGGAGTCCCAGTCCTGAGTTCCAGTCCCAGTCCTGAGTCTGTAGTCCCATCCTGAGTCCCAATCTGAGTCCCAAGTCCTGGGTCCCTACTCCCTAGTCCCAATCCCAGACCCAGTCCTGAGTCCCTAGTCCCAGTCCTGAGTCGCAATCCCAGTCCCAAGTCCCAGTGTCCCAGTCCTGAGTCCAGTCCTGAGTTCCAGCCCCACTCCTGAGATCCGAGTACCAATCCTGAGTCCCATTCCCAGTCCCAAGTCCCAGTCCCGAGTCCCAGTCCCGAGTTCTAGTCCAAGTCGAGCCCCCGTTCTGAGCCCCAATCCCAGATCAATTGTCGGCCTCAGGTGCATGTACAATATTCACAAATGCTTAGGTAGAGTGGCTTTTGATTGTACAGTGTTCACAGATGCCTAGGAGGTTAGCTTTCAGAAAGCCACAGTGGGAAGTGCCTGGTGAAAAAAGTTTATGGGATAGAAAAGTCAGCAAAGGTTGCTACCGTCTTCGCCCGAATAGAACACCCTGTCATTATGGATGTGTCTAGACTGAACTTTGCAACAAATACAGCTATAATGACCGGGTGTTCTATTCGGGTGAAGACAATAGGCCAGGTGTCGGTCGCTCAAAACAGCAGCAAAGGAGTCCCAGGAAAGGCCACAAACTTCCTGAAGCGACAGACACTGGCAAGGCAGCGCACCCATAACTGGTAGCTACAGTCTGGAAGGCGACTCGTCAAGTACAAGAGCCCAGCTGGGGAGGCCGTTGAGACATATTTCATTGGTGAGAGGGGGGTTAAGAGAGGGGGAGGGCCGGGGGGGAGGGGGTGTTACTGCTCTGAGTGATCGCCTGAGGGGTTAGTTGACACCTGAGTGCATGGGATCAGGATCTGTAACTGCTGTTATCTGAGTCAGTCACCATCCAGCATGCTTCTTGTTGTGGAAAAAAAAAGATTCACTCACTCAGGAAAATTGCCAGGCGGCGATCCTGAACGTTAGTTTGTTTGTTCATCGAACTTGTTCAGTTCATGAGATTGTTTAACTTTTGCGGAAGTTTTGCCTCTTTTTTTTTTCTTTTTTTTTTTTTTGAGTTCGTTCCGTTTGGTTGGTGAGTTGCATGATATTCCATCTTTATCGTTTAGAACTTGGAACATGGAAGGGCAAAAGAAAAAAGAAAAAAGAAAAAAAAGAATGTCTTTCTCCCTCCTACCCTCCTCCTTCGTCCTGGCTGCCGCCCATGCCTCCTCCCATCCGTATTATATAAGTCGTTCCGGTCCTATTGAGCATCACCTGCTTGTTTATAGAGAAGAGGTAGGCATTCATTGGATTAGTGTTTGCTTGGCACTGGGGCTGTTATTGGACTCGTTTGGTTTTGCAGGATTTCTTCGAAAAGGCGCTGGCCATTATAGACTCTGACGATGACGTCAATCTGGTGATTGCAGACTTGAAGGGATTTGGAGAGTGGGAGGTAAGAGAGTGAAGCGGCGGCATACGTCTTCGCCAACCAAATCCAACTCCTGCACACTTCTTCCTTCTCTTCTTTCACCCATCTAGCCCATAGGACTGAATGGTTCGGTACATAAGCGTTAGCCAACAGCTGGAGAGTTAGCGGTTAAACTTAAACCCCTTTGCGATAAAAAGAAATGCAAAAAAAGAAAAGAACCCGTGTTAAAAAAACAACAACCAATCAACCAACCAACCAACCAACCAACCAACCAACCAACCAAACAAACAAACAGAACCTTACGGTTCTGGCTCCATATCATGGACCATGTGTCCATTCTGGGGAGTGTCAGTCCGGTTCCTTTTGCACCGGTAACTTCGGCACGCCATGAAGGAATACAATGAGCGCCCACGCACGCTCATCCCCATTATGGTTGAGAGGCCCAAGTGGACGGCATGGATTACTTGCCGCAGGAACGGGATATACCACCCCTCACCCCTGCCTAAGTTAGCCTCATGCTGTACTTGATAACTAGCTTTCAACGGCGAATATTCGGGGCCCGGTTAACCATCTTTCCGAATAGAACATACGGTCATTATAGCTGTATTTGGGGTATCTTTGAGTCTATATACAGTTACAATGGTCGTACGTTGTATTTTTGCAGGAAGAAGGTAGTCTTACTTTGAACTATACATGTTGTACCCTTATTAGTCTGCTAGAAGCCTAGAACCCTAAACCCTAGCCTACCTTCGCTTTCGTCTACCCTCTGCCACCCTATACCCTGGGCTATCCTCACTTAATCGTAGTGGCTCCTGTTCTAGCCTGTTCCTAAATGGAGGAAATACCTTTCTCTGCTTCATCTGGTACATAGTCATGGTCTAAGGCTTTGCTATTCTACCAGGTCCATGGGTTCCGTCTCCCCATTTTTCAATCAGGTGAATGCTGAAAGGAAAAATAAAAAAAGAATAAACATGAATGCTCAACGATGCACCCACCAAGCGGTGATGGCTCTGGTCAATTCCGTAACGTTAAACCACGAACGAATACCTTTCCCATCTATCGGCCGCAGGAAAAGTGTAGACTGGAAGCGTTTCGACTCGAATGAATTTGGACGCTCCGTTAGTGGCCCGTTCATCCTCTGAAAGTCGCGGCCGCATGCGGGAGGGACTTTTGGAGGTACTGGTGGTTCAGTGGTTGAGTTACAGTCACGGGGGGTTGCGGAAACCCTACACCCTCAAAACTTCCTGGTACAGAACGGGCGGCATTGATTTTCAGATAGACGAATGGTGTTGCCTTTCATTTCTGCTTGAAGTTTGGAGGGATGGAGGGATGGAGGGATGGAGGGAATGTGAATGGCTCTTGTAAATGACTCTTTTCGGCTTGAAGAGTTATTCGATAGTCAATGGAGAATGCTATCAATCGGAAAAAAATGAAGAGTCCAAGGAAATGTGGAATATCGTTGCATAGTCAATTGAGAATGATCTCAATCGGGAGAAAAGAAGAATCCAAGGAAATGTGGAATATCGTTCCATAGTCAAATGAGAATGCTCTCAATCGGGGAAAAAAAAAAGAAGAATCCAAGCCTTCCAAGGAAATGTTGAATATGGTCGTCAAAAAAGGAATCGGTGGGAACCACGAACAGGCTAAACTCAGTTAGGACAAAAAAAAACAAAAAAAACCATGAAACTGTTGAAAAAGAGACAGAAGTTGGAATCCAGATGGATAGAGATGAATGGAGTGAGATTTTTTTTTTTCATAGAAAAGAAATTGGTAGAACCACAGGCTTCCAGCAGGGTGATATCACAAAGAGGTTATGAGGAAGATGGACAGACAATGTGTGGATCTCCACTCTAGGACTATTTGGGTCGGGCCAATGAGAAGCGAAGAGTGGGATAAATGTAGTCTAACAGTGCGGTGGATGTTTTTTTTTGGTTCTTGCTTAAAAAATATCAATAGGCTAACTGAGTGGCCCGGGACCACTTGCCCGGACGGGCCAAAAAAAAAAAAAAAAAAAAAAA